ACTATTTGAATGATGGGCACACTTACAGTGGTGACTCAAGCATTACAAAAACTACCCATGTAACCAAAAACATTTGTACCCCCTTCATATTTTGAAAAAAAAAACAACCCCAGAACATGTCATAAATATTGTCCCATGTCATTAAAAATTCTCCAAAATAAGGCCGGGCGCGGTGGCTCACGCCTGTAATCCTAGCACTCTGGGAGGCCGAGGCGGGCGGATTGCTCAAGGTCAGGAGTTCAAAACCAGCCTGAGCGAGACCCCGTCTCTACCATAAAAATAGAAAGAAATTAATTGGCCAACTAATATATATAATATAAAAATCAGCCGGGCATGGTGGCTCGTGCCTGTAGTCCCAGCTACTCGGGAGGCTGAGGCAGGAGAATCGCTTGAGCCCAGGAGTTTGAGGTTGCTGTGAGCTAGGCTGACGCCATGGCACTCACTCTAGCCTGGGCAAGAAAGCGAGACTCTGTCTCAAAAAAAAAAAAAAAAAAAAAAAAAAAAAAAATTCTCCAAAATACTTATTTGGTTATATTATATTGACACATAAATATTATACCATTAGTTATTTATTTTTCTCTAGTAGAAAAATTAGGCAGTTTCCAAATTTTGCTGTTATAAATGTGACGATTATCATTGTACAAAATCTCTACTTTTGGGTAACAATGACAGCCATGTTTATCATTTAAAGATGATCTCTCTACCCCCAAAAAATAAAAATAAAATTAGTAAATTAGTAAATGGTAAAATAGGTCATACAAAATTAACTTCATCATTAGTTCTTTGTACTCAATAGTTGTTCATTAAATGTTCAGTGAGTCTAATTGTGATAAGATTTCAGAATAGAAAAACAATAAAATATGCATGCTCAATATTTGTCCTTAAAACGCTTGTCTGTTTCTAAAAGCAGGAGGGGTTTGTATCTACCCTGTGTCCATACTAAGATTTAGCCAAGGTAGATTTGAATTAGTTGATTTAAGAGTGTTTTGGCAGAAAGCAAAAGAGCATGCCAGCACTCAAGGAGGATAGGATGGGAAGGACAGACAGTAAAATACCTGTCCCAAGTGCTTTCATGCAAGCAGAAACAACCAAAGATATTTTCATAGGGGATTCGTGTGAGAAAGCCAAATTGTAACCAAGGATGTTTTGCCGCCTACTTCGTGAGGGGTGACAGAGCAACGGAAACGTTCTCCACTTCCGTACAGCGTGATGTCATCATCACCGGGGCACACTGACCACCACAGTGGATGACTAGGGAGGCTCTGGGGCCCTCGACAGAGAGAGCAAGAGAAGAGGACAGTACTTGGCGTTCACTTATGAGGACTGTTGCGAAGATGTGTGAATAACTCTTGGGGACTCTCTGATATTAGTGGATGAGGCTTAGGAGAGGGCCATGCCTAGCACCTGATAGAAAAAGACAGAAAAACATGTCTATCATCATTTGTCATCACAGGATGATGAGGACTGGGCAAACACGTTATTTTATTCAAATGTCAATATTTTACATGTATCAATAGGTTGATAACAATGTAAATACATTCTGACCAAACATAAATCAAGACGTTCACTCCTGAGATTTAACTGATGACACTGGTGTTGCTATTAAAAACAGTCTCTGCCCAGGCACAGGGTTATGATAGATGTTTGTGAATAGATTCATCAGATAATATTTGCTTTACAGTACTTCAAGGGTTTTTGGGTTTTTTTTTTTTTTTTTTTTACCTTGGAACTGTAGAAATAATAAAAGGAATTATTTGAGAAGTACTGAAACAAAACCATGAATCATCTGTACATGGATTTACTAAACAATGAACTCAGGAACACGAATAATGAATTATAATGTGTTTGACACAGCTGTAATGTTTTTAATCACTAATCTCTTTCCGAAAGTAATGGTAAGCTCCTTCAAACACCAATAACTGTAAACAAATTCCACATCCTAGAGGTGATCTTCTCTTTCTGCAGCATCTCTAGACTAATTCTTTCCTTTTAGGGTCTCATTTTGCTTCTTGACTGGTTGATTCTAGAATTCAGACTATCTTTGCATTTTCTCAACATCCAATCTGTTATTTGCCACCAACAACAGCAAAATAGCTCTTTACTCCGGCCACACAGCCCTTCCTGTACCATTGTACATTTTCATGATGCCTTAGGTGGGTCCTCCTTCCTATGTGCTGTGCTTACATTTGTTCTTCATTTTGAAATTTAGCTGTAATAAAAAGTTTCTTTCCTGCTTAACAAATTCCTTCCTTCAAAGCATCTGGCAGACAGGTAGTAAGACCTGCTATTGTAAATCCTTGCTACTATAATGCAGTCCATGAACTGGCACCATCCACCTCACCTGGGAGCTTCTAGAAATGCAGAAATTTGGACCTCAAAAAGTAGGACACAGACCGACTCAGAATCTTCATTTTTAAAAATTTGATTTGTAAGGATGTTACAGTTTGAGAGGCATTGATCTAAGTGATATCCATGAGCAGGTATTTTTGTTCCAAAGAACAATATTTTTGTTGAAAATTTGAAACCCAATAATGTTCACCCTTTACATAGTAGCAGAATCAGGGGATCCTTTGCCAGTTGTTGGTTGTATTGCTTGAAAGAACACAATAAAGATGAAAAATTCAGGCCTGGATATGTAAGTTCATATTCTGTCCTTTCCATTTAATGCTTAATTTGCCATACCTCATCTACCCATTACCCTCCTTCTACCCATCACCCCCACCATAACAGCTCACGGTCTTTGAGCTGTGCCAAGTGCTGTGCTAAGTTCGTTTACATTCATATCTAACAACTCTGTGAAGTATGCCCTATTATCATGGAGTGAGCAAGTAAGCTAATTGTTTACCTAAGATTTAGTTTCCTTTGGGGTATCCAAAGAGACCCTCCTGAGGAAAATGGACCCTGATGTTTGTTTGATATGCCTGCTTATCTTTGAGTATATTCCTAACGTATGCTGAGTGTGATGACATCCTGTGTGTGAGCCACACTTATGGCTTATTACTTCTGACAGTATTCCTTATTACGCTGATATTCTGTACATAAACTATTATTCAATGAGTAACAGAACATCAGTTGTGGAAATGAGAAGAAAGGTAAACGTCCTGATTTAATAAACAGAAATATAAAACCATATAGGAGACAAGGTATTAATTAGATATGACATCTTAACTTTATATATTTAGAGTACAATTAGATTAAGTGGTAATTAAATTTCAATATTCATAACAGCCATACTACAAAGCTTCAATTATAAAAAGATGGAATGTTTTCTCTTTCTGCTTCCCTAGAAGTGCTATAATTTTTTGCCTTTCCAGGAGAGGAAAAGGAACAAAGGAGATCCTATGCTTTTGTTTTGTTTGACTCCTTCCCTAGCACCGCACTCTCATTCGGACAGGTGAGGAACATGGGCAATACAGCATTTTTCCAGGAAACTCCCCAATTTACTTTCTGTTGACATTCTTTTACGTGCACTTTACTGCATTGTTATTTTCCTTGAAAAGGTTGAAAATGGCCAACTGAGCTTTATTAACTGAGGAAGTGCACATTTTAAATGTTACTGAAACTCAACTGAATATTCTTAGAGGAACAACATATATTCCAAGTCTGAGAAACTGCCCATTTTTGACAATGGTGTATCATTGACAGCAATTCCAAACCTCTGAATCACCATTTCAAGATTCTTTTTCTGCCATGCCTTCTTTGTGCAGGCTTAGCACATGTATAAGCTATGGACAACTTGGCATTTTTATTTTTTGAGATAGGGTCTCACTCTATTGCCTGCATTAGAGAGCAGTGGCACAATCATATTTCACTGCAACCTCAAACTCCTGGGCTCAAGGGATCCTCCTGCCTCAGGCTATCGCTGAGTAGCTGGGACTACAGGCATGCACCACTACAAAGCTAATTTTTCTAATTTTTGTAGAGAACGGGGCCTTGCTATGTTGTTCAGGCTGGTTTCAAACTCCTGGCCTCAAGCTATTCCTCCTGCCTGGGCTGCCCAAAGTGCATTATAAGTCTGACCCACCACACCCAGCCTCAGGGACTTTTAAGAACATTGCTTTCATCATGTGCGAGGTAATTCAAACTCAATTTATGTATTCTGGATAAACTTTGCTAATGTTCTTATTTGAACCCTATCCTTTCCACTTCCTATTCTTTAAGATCTCACTCAAACTACTTGTCCTTAATAAAGACTTCTCTGACTATCTCAGCCTATAATTTCTCAAATTCTTTTTATTATTCTTTGATACTTCTAAACCAACCCATAAATTAAAAGATGCCTTGTTTTTCCATCTTGTTTTTAGATGCTTTCAATTTTCATTTCTGTATAGCAGCTAGCATGTTGGCTCAAACATAATACCTTTCAAATCTTCATGAAGTCCACAAAAATTTAAAATGGGCAGAGGGAAGATAAAACTCTAATAGTGTTCAGGTTCATTCCTATATTATTTATTTGCCCATTAGTTTAGCCTATTATTGTAATTGTTACATCTCTAATTTTTATTATCAAATTCTGGGTATCTTGCATTGTCAAAAATGAAGTTAAAAGTGGCTACAAAACTGAGTAGTTATAAATCATTGATGCTTGTACTACTGTTAACAGTAAATGGGGTGTTTGGTTTATATGTACTATTACTGCTGTTAGAATCAACTAGTTAAATTGCTGAATAATTTGAACAAAGAGTAAAAGAATATTTTAATATCTGTTCTTTGTAGCTTAATTTTTGAGACAGTACATTTTTAAAGAGAAATTTTATTTGGCCTCAGATGGTAATCATTATGACCACAGAACTAGATGAGCCCTAGAGGCATTAGTCCATGCCCTCTTACCCAGGTGGTCTATCTGAACTGCATTTTTGAAAGCATCATAGACACTTCTCTAGGAAAAGAAAATAACAACTATTAGGCTGTATGCTGCAATTCTTTTGCACCTTATTTGTTATTCATCAAATCTAATCCAAATTCTTCACACTGCAGTTCAAGAAAAACCACTAACAACATTTTAGGCAAAATAAATACTTTATTGTTTTAATTTTGTTTTTAGAATCATCCTTTGTGTGATATTGCAAACATTTATAACTTTGATATTCTTTCAAAGAACACTGTTAACATCTCAACCACTTTGATTAAAATATCACACACAAAGAAACATAATAGGAGTTGAAAATTATAAATGCTAAAAGAATAATTTTAATAACATTTGGTTACTTTACACATTTATTAACATATATAAAACCAAATAGGAAACCACTTTCCTTCCCCCTCCCCCATAAAAACAAGAGTTTTCACTGGTTAAAAATGAATTAAAATCATTTATGTATGAGAACAAATGTAAATTACTTCCACTTTGAAAAAACAAAAACCAGCTTATTCATTTCTATCTGTTCAAGTCATAGGCCTCATTATTTGGATGATACCCTATCATTGAGTCTAAAAGACAGAAGAAGAGACATTTCCTTATAATAAAGAAGTCTGGCAATACAAAAAGTACATAGTGTTTAACATAAGGCACATTACCAAAAGAAAAATACTACATAAGCTATAATAAAATTACATTTGTCTTATGTAAGGCAACAAGGCTTACAGTGTAAGAACATTAAGTAGTTGTAGGTAACCTCATAGAATTCTACCCTACTGCTATTAGTAACCTCCTCAAGAATTAAAAGCAATTTATACAACACAACAGTTTTTCTTCTTGGAAGTGACACTAATTAACAGCAGTGGAGGGAAAATCATTGGTTGCTTCAAGCTCTCAAAAAATGAATCAGTTATTGCACAGTAAATACCTCATAGAGGTCAGTGTTTTAAGAAGCTAGTCTGAAGAAGTATGTTATTTATAAGTTGGATAAGTCTGGATGTCTTCAAGTTTTATAATTAATTCTAATAGAGAATCAAATGAAAAATATTGACATACAAATAAATATTAGGCTTTTCAAACTGCTACAATTTTGATAGTTTAGAAAAGAGCAAAGTGCCTAAGTTTCTACATAGGTTTTTTAAAAAGATAGGCATAGAAGAAATACACACTGTACATTGTATACAGTAGCCCAGCTCAGCAGCAAGTATCTTCTGAAGCACAAGTAACACCTCCACCAGTGTATATTATTGATACCTCCAATATTACACAGCTACTAGGATTCATGCCAACCTTAAAAAAGAAAGAGAAGTCCACTCTAAACATTTTTCAAATACTATTATTAAAAGATTCTTTTAGAGGCGAATGAGAATTTTATTCAAATATACATACATATAAACACAATCTTCCTGTGATTTCCATACATATTCCTAAGAATTAATTCTTTTATTCATGGCTTTGGGGAAAAAAAATCTCATTAGTTGCTTTATGACATAGTTTATCAAAATATTTTCCCATTTCTACAGTTGAAATTATGTATTATACTTTTCAAATTACATTTTTGTTTTCTTGCTATAGGCTGAATATTTTTAGTTCTACTAAAGGTATTATTCTACCAAAGCATATTATTCTTTTTGGCATTCACCAAATACTAATTTTAATATATTTTTTATGAAATGGAAATTAGACCTATGAGAAAATAAAATTCATTTTAATAAGTAAAACACAAAATAATTATTTAATACATTATAATTAGAAATGGATCTATGGGATATGTTTCTTTAAAAGATAAAATAATTAGGAAAGATACTACAAAGTTTTGATTCTCAAAATCTTGTTCCATGAATTGCACATTTTAAAATACTTTTATAATCAATGCTTTTAAAGATTCAGGTTAGAAGTCCAACTCCAGGATTTATTTACTATAATAAAATTCCACTATAATGACCCAATATAGATAATTCCCTCAAGATTAGTATGATGAGATTTGACTTGCTTACACTTCAAATAGGATTGTATGTGGTTTTTACACTGTAGGATAACATATGACATACATTCTAAAATCAAAATTTAGCTAGAGAACCACACTTGTGTACTAGGGAAACAAAGAATAAAATACCAAGTATTAATTTCTATTTAAACAAAAAAATTCAGAAAAATTTACCTATAATTTCCATTTAATGACTATCTTGCTTAGAATTAGATGCTTTACTTGAAGATACTGCTGCCAGAAGTCCACTTACAATTTCCCGTCTGATTTCCCCAACAATAGAGTCTTTAATCTAGAATGCAAAATAAGAGAAAAATCAGAACTTAACAATATGAGTGTAATTCTTTTTTTCTCCGTTTTTAGAAAAAAACAAATAGCATTTAATTTCTGCAATCAGCTAAACCACAGAGGAAACTACAACCTTTATGTGAACCTGCATGCAATACAGAGAGGGAGTGGGGAATCAAGTCGATCTATCCTCAAACCCAGGACAGAATCTGAGTTCTGATCCGGCATAACTCGGCTAACTAGATTATAAAATATCACAATTCTTAAATTGAGAACATTAGAAAATGTCATTTCATAGATTAAAAAACTTCTAGTAAATACTTTACCTCATGACACAAAATAATATGGAAAGACTGATTAAATGTTTTTTATTATCATCTACCTTTGAAAGTTAATCAGCAGGATATACAAGTGCTCTCACTGCTTTTAAAAAAAAAACCCATTAGTGGCAAAACAATATACAGGTATAATACCTGTTTATACCAATTGAAAGCTAAATATCTGAAGAAGTTGTAAGAAATTATATATTGTACTAACTCGTGCATTTTAAATGGAAAGAAAAAATTATCATTTAGTACAATTTATTTTAAAACACAAAAACGTCCTCCAAACCACGGTAAACTCTAAAGAAATGACCTTTTCTTTAGTTGTATGGTACAGTCGTCACCTGCCTAAAGCTTTTGCTTCAGATAGGGATATACATATCATGTCATCGTAGGAAAAGGCAAACAGAGCTGGGGCAATGATAATTCATTCTATCAGGATCTTCTCCAGATGTCCAAGCCTACATATGACTATCCCCAACTTTTCTCTCTCATGACACAGCATCACCTTAAATAGCCCCTTGTGACGGCTTTAAATGTTTATTTCCTGAAAAAAAACTGATAATGCCTTCTAAATTAGCACTCGAGACACTCTCCACCAGCTTTTAAAAATTCTACATTTCCACAGTATCCAGCCAGAATGATCTATTTCCTAAACTGTTCCTAAGTACATCTTGAACACATCTTAATTGAAGACTTTCCAAAAATGGCTCTGTATTAATCAGTCATGCAAAACTGGTACACAATACATAAGATTTATACACAGTTATTCATAGAAACAAAATGCTTCTTAGCGACCAACCATCTGTACTGGAATATATTTAAATAAATACAAGCTTTTCATTTTATCTTCTATCAAGATTTCAAACAGCACCAAAAGTTTCTGAAGTTCATGGGACTTCAGATTTACTTTTTAAATAAGTATGTGTTGGATACAAATATTTTAAAAACCAGAATCTCTTAGCCATAGTATATAAACACAAATACAATATGCTGAATCTGGAACACTGAAATACGGTAATTTTATTATATTCCATCATTCTTCATCATTCTAAAAAAAAAAAAAAAAACTAGCCAAAAAATATTCTTTACAAAAACGTGTGCCAGCCTTTTCCTGGAGTGCAAATATTACTGGAATAAAACATACAAGAATTTCTGTAGTCAAACATGTTATAATCTATTAATAGATGAATACAAAATGAATTTTGAAAAGATTATCATGGGCTAGAAGAGGAAAAAAATATTATCAAAGAAGGAAGACTTTACACTGTAGGTCATGAAAAGTTGCAACTATTTCATATGATGGTGGAGATTGAAAACTTTAAAGCAAGAGAATCTTGGATGAGAGGGGAGTATAACGGAGCCTGACTGACAAGACAGTTCTTTCTGGGGTGTAGAAGGAAATTAGGACAGAAAGGGTGAGGTCAGATGGAAGGTGTACTATGAGCTCCTTCAGGGAGGGGCTCAGGTCTCACTTATCAATTTGATAAACTGCATACAGTAAGCAATAAATGTCTAAATGGATGAGTCAATAAGAGAGCGAAAGAGCACGAGAGACAAATATCAGATACAAGAGGAGAAAGAAGAAAAAAGAACTACAGAGAGATCAGCACTGAAAATGACAAAATGCCATTAAATAATTTATTGAAGGAATAAATGTATGGACAAATAAATTCAAAGTCTCCCATGCTACAGAGAGGCTGGAAGGATAGGAGTGAGAAAATTCCATTGGGATTGAGGATAAAATTACTTGTATGAGCACAATTTCCAAACAATGGTGTAGGCTGAAGACGAGACTACCTGAGATTAAGAAGGGAATGCTTATCGACAATATAAAAAGACCGACTGCACATCTGACGTGTGTAGCTAGTGAGTGCCTACCGTGTGGCAGCCGTTATATTAAGTGATCACTAAAAAAAGTTTCAATAAGCATACATGGGCAAGCTGTGTATTTACTAAAATACATGCTTCAAACATGTCAGATGTACTGTAATAAAGATTCTGAAAGGCATGAACCAAGTCTAGGCACTTGAATAAACAAAGAAGAACTCTCTAAACACAAAGCAATCTATGTTTACTCTTTGACATTTAATTCTGTTGAGTTTGCTTCTGTGGGCACATGTTCATTCATTCTATTAAGTACTTTTTATTTACACATATACATACATTTTTAAAGTAACTGTAAACAGTTTCAGGCCACTGATTGTATGCATCGCAGATGACCGCAAATTTTAAGATGAGGTACTTTTTTCCTACTACAGCGTTCACAATGTGCAAAGAAAAGGGGTATCTTTAATCTGACAAAAGTTTAGTACTGAATGAGTATATTAAATGTTTGAAAGGACTTTCTTTCAATGTTCTCTTTCAAAAAAAGAATTCTTACTGTATTAACACATTATAAACAATGAAAACACCCTTTTTAAAAACCTCACTTATGGTGCAATGAAAGAAACAAAGGCCTGACAGATATTATTGTTTTCATGCACCCATGAGTGCAATGAGAAAACTTCCTTGAAAGTGCCTGGCAAACATATTTAATCCTCACCTGCAAAACTGTTCAACCCAAGATTAAATCTTGGTTTTCTAAATGGAGGCTTTGTTAATGGGGTTAAGGGCTCAGAATTTACTGGGAAAACAGAATCTAATTTAATTATCTTGATAGCTGATACACTAAGCTTAAAAAAAGACTGGAATTCAGTACCATGTGTATTTAAGTAACAAGATTAGCAATTTGAAATGAATGGAATAAAAACTATTCTGAATTTTAAATACTTTGCAAACGAACTTTAACAGAAAACCACTGCAACTGATCTAAGTGATATTAAAAACAATTTTTTTAAGTTATAACTGGCATTAAACTAACTTATCTAATATGTGGTTTTAAAGTGCTTCAAAAGAATTTGTTTTCTTCAGTGCAATAATATTCCTCTTATGCCTTGATCTCTATATATTTTGGTTGGTAAGCCCTTCTATGTAGACAGTAAAAGAGTACATGGTACTCTTTTAAGTAAACCCAACTTCCTTCAAACTATGCCAAACTTTGAACTAAGTAGTTTGTAATTAATGGGTTTAGTAACAAATTCTGAAAAATTCTCCAAACATTTGCCTTGCATGTCAGTTTAAATGTCTGCAAATCATAAAAGCTTTCATATTTAATGGAGGTTCTTATAAATGATTAATTCTCTAGGACCAAGGAAGCCTAATAAGAACAACTGACTTTTTTTAATACTATGCTCTAACGGCCAAAGAATCAATGTTCTGGTCTAAAGTGAATGCTTTACTCCCAGGAAATTACTTAAAGCACATATCAGGCCATCATAACTTTAAAAATTAGAATTCAAGTGTGCATTAAAGGGAATATTTGCACCAAACAAATGACATAAAATTTTCAAGCAAAACTTTCAAACTAAAGCAAGCTAAGCGAAACAAAAGCATCAAATTTCCAGGGGGGAAAAAAGCTACCTTAAAATCTATTTCCTCAATTAGCAAATGTAGTGTGGAAAAGAACCATTATTTCACTCAAAAATTGATCTTTCATATAAAACATGTAAACAGGAAAGGATTACTAATCACAGGCACACCAAACTGGGCAGAGTGAATGTACAGAGTTTGCTAGACATGAGCCAGCCACAACCAACTTATAAAAATAATTCTATTTGTGGGACAAATAAATTTATAGAATTACACTTGTAAGGCCAGGCATGGTGGCTCACGCCTGTAATCCTAGCACTCTGGGAGGCCGAGGCAGAAAGATCGCTTGAGCTCAGGAGTTCAAAATCAGCCTGAGCAAGAGCAAGACCCCATCTCTAAAAAATAAAAAAGAAAGAAAAAAAATCTGTAGAATTACACTTTTAAAACTTTTAGATGGTAGAGTCATGTCATGAAAATAAATTACAAACATGTAGCTATAACAGTAGTTATAGCTTCTGCTATAACATTAGTTTTGAAAATGTGAATCTGTTTTAACATGATTGAAATATTAGGAAACAACTTGCATATAATGCAAATTTCATGTTTGCTTATATGCAATCTCATCCATAAGAAACACTACATGAACACAGAACACTGCACTTGGATGAACCTAGGAACATAGTACACAAAATGCACACATCTTAAACATCTACCAGCTATCTCTCAGTTATCTGTTATGAGCCACACCCATTCCCATCTGGTGTTAAAACTTTCTGTCAGATTTCAGTCCACCCTCCTTCACAGTAACTCACAAGTTGCAACATTTCCAAAGCCCACTTCCACAAACTTCAGGGATTTTTAAGGTAACTACCATATTTATTGTAATATTCATATAATTCTTAACCATTTAACATGTACAGTCAGCCCTCCATATCCTCAGGTTCCCCAACTGTGGACTTAATCCGCAGATAGAAAATATTTGAAATAAAAAATAACAGTACAAGAATTTTAAAAACACAACTTTAACAGCTATTTATACAGCATCTAAATTGTATTAGGTATCATAAGTAATCTAGAGATGATTTAAATTCTACGGGAAGTGTGCACAGAGTATATGCGAAAACTATGCCATTTTATATAAGGGACTTGAACATCCACGGATTATGGTATCTGCAGGCGTCCTAGAACCAATTTCCCTCAGATACCAAGGGTCAACTGCATAAAACTGCTACTGTGTTCATTAGGTTTCTATCTTTTGTCTTTCTAATATGTCACTGACAAAGTTATAAGTATTATGCCTGCAATTCTATTTTCCCCATAAACCCTGTGGTCTTTATTGCATGAGTTTGTACAGCACAGAGATTTTCAGGAACTCATGTATCCTATTACAGGAGGACTGACAGTATTTATTTTCAAGGTACTCTTAAGCTACCAACATGTACCTATATATGATGGCTCATTAAAAAGTTCTCCCTTTTTAAATGATGCATACTACTCCTTATTACCTGATCTTAGTGCTAAAAAGAGTCATTTTACTAATTTTATCAACTTTTGATTACTAACACTTCTAAATTTTTGCAGTTCTGGTGATCTAGAACTATGGTGATGCTTCAGGTTCTCACGCTGCTATCACCTAGATTCTCACGCTGCTATCACCTTCTTTTCTTACTGCATTTCAACTTTTGAACAACTCATGTAATTTCTACACTTCCCCACCCAACAAACCAAAGAGATCAAATTCTTTATGCTTATTAAAATCACAACACCATTTTCTCATGTCAACTGAAACCATAAAATGCAGCTTTTAATCCTGGAAGAAATCTCAATTGTAATCCCTCTTGGGAACAAAAGGTCCAAAGAATTTGTCACATGTTTATCTATTTCCAGCACTACAAACACTTTTCTCACCATAGTGAATAAAAAATTGCAACTATTTCACACTGGAGTATGAAATTTGCCATTACAAACATATCATAATAGACACTAACTGGATCCGTGGGGAAGAATCTAAAAGCTCCCTGAAAATTACAAAATATTGTGACTCAAAAGAATATCTTATAAATAATTAACATTCAAATAAAATCTCCTCTGCAGAATGATGGTTACCAGAGCTTGGGAAGGGTAGCAGGGAGAAGAGGATAAAGTGGGGATGGTTAATGGGTGCAAAAATACAGTTGATTAGATAGAATGAACAATATTGAGAGCACAACAAAGTGATTATAATCACAATAAGTTAGGGTATACTTTTAAATAACTAAAAGAGTGGCACTGGAATGTGCCTAACACAAAGAAATATTAAATGTTTGAGGTGACGGATATCCCAATTACCCTGATTAGTTCACATTGCATGACTGCATTAAAACATCACATGTACCCTATAAAGATATACAACTATTATATGCCCATAATAATTTTTTAAAAATCTCCTCTAATACACATATCCAAATAAATGAATTAAGCACAGATTTTTACCCACCTCCCGAATGACTTGCTGCAACTCATCCTGCTCTACATTTTTATGCATTTCCTCAGCATCTGGCATTGCTGGGAGTTTTCCATGTCCTTCTTCCACTTCAGATTTAGTTCCTATGACTTCTGGGATTTCTTCAGCTGCTTCAACTTCCTCAGAACTTTCCAAATCTGGAGGTGTCTGCACAGAGCCTGTTCTAGATGGGGCAGTTGGTGTTAGGGCCACTGATGCTCGGAATACTTTCTTCCTTGCCACTGACTGGGTTTTCGGTTTGTTCACTGAGGCACTAGAAGGTACTCCAGTTCTTCTGTTAGCATGAGAGGGGCCAGAACATACAGAAGATGACTCTGATGTTGCTTGGGAAAAAACAGATTCTGAGCTTTCTCCAGGAGGAACCTCAAATCCCATTTCTCCAAGTCCCAGGCCTAATTCAGACTTCAGGTATGACTGTTCCTGCATCAGTTCAGTGACCTGGAGATCAGAAAAATTGTTATTCTTCTCTCTTGAAATTAAGATTGGTAGTTAAAAAGAAGGTATAAAGCCTAGCTGTGATTATTGCCAAAATCACATCAAGTTGTAAAGTTACTGTGTTTCATTAATTTAGTGACTACTCGATTTCATTTGCAAAAACAGCAAGTAAAATTTAAATTCCCAATGAAATCAAGCAATACAACTGGTAACTAGAATACTCAGTGGGACAAAATTTTACTTGTTACCACACCGGTGTCCAAATTACTTGTAAGGAAGAGTAACTAGTGAAAAACAAAACAGTTACTCATAATGCTTTTGTCCCAAATAAACCAATTTGTCTAAAATATAGCACATTTCTCCTGGAGTTAAAATTAAATATTTTTTATGAGACATTATTTCCTTTAGGTCATAAAGATGATAAATCACTATTGCAATTAAGCTGGCTTTCCAGCGATTTAGATACTAATGGACTTTCAGAAATGCCAAACTCACTTCCACTCTATTTAATTGTAACTTATCAAATTCTGTATGTAAAAGAAATAAACATACATTTCATAAACACTAGGAAAATTGCATGTTTATGAAATGTTATATCATTCCCTTCCCCAGTGATTTAAAAGGAGAGAGGCTTACTGGTTCCATTACATTCAATGGAGAAGGGCATGACAAGTTATCAGCGCTTCTACTGCCACACATTCCCTGGAAAGGTAAGAACAATATTTATATCTTTATCTCTCTGTATTTTTTTCAAATTGCAAGAGTTTGATAATAAAATAAATTGGCTAATTAGTGCCCTGAAGCATCCCTTTATATCACCTAGGTCACCCTCAACTGTCATTGATCCTATGTGTTATTGCAACTGAAAACTGATACAAAGTGCATAGAGGATGTTCTGATTCTCTGCTGCCACCAACACATCTTTCTCAGAATGACAGATCAAAACCATGGGAAATATATTCATTAATGATGTAGAATATTCTTATTTGATGCTATACATATATCTGTGTGTATACACACACTCTTACTCTGTTCTACTCCATGTGTACATATATATGCATGTGTATGTGTACATATCCATTTATTTTTACCAAAATCAAATGCATTGCTAAAGTATTAAGTAATAAAGAAAAATTAATCATTGCACCTTTTCAAAGCAACATATTCTATAACTTCAAAGATACTGGCAAGAATAAGAATATAATTGTTGAAGTCCAAATTTCATGGAAAGAAACATTAGAAGTATGAAAAGTGGTACAAAATAAAGGCAGTTTTATTCTCTGGGTTGTATGTATGTTTCCTATCTAAATATCTCATTTGATACCTTAAAAAACATAAAGGAAAAGAATCCAAAACAAAGAAAAAGTTTAAAAAGGACAGTTATTTAAAGGCAAGAGAGGAAATAAAAAAGACTGAGTAAAATATATATTTGTGTTCTTTGTAACATGCAGTGATTAAAATTTAAAATTAGTCATAATTCACTCGTTTTTCCTTTACAAACACTAAACTTTTGTACTGACCCTTATTCTTTCCTATTATCAAAAATTATCATTAAAAATGTTTAACATATTTCTAAATATACTAAACATTTAAAACAATTACCACAACTTGCACATTCAACTGACTGTGGAAAAGCTCCTTAAACATCCTGCATGCTTTTAATACCATTAAAATAAATGACCTGCAAGGAAGGCACGTGTCCTAAATTCTGTGAAACATCTCCCTACCACTGTCAGGGCAGCGTACCGTGAGTGCGCAGGAGCGGAAGGGCGAAGGCGCACACACCGCGCGCAGCTGCTCCTCAAGGCACAGCAGGCGCTCCTCCAGCTGCAGCTCCAGGTCCTGAAGTTCCATGCGCACTGAATTTCTCAATCCCTGGAGCTGATCGACTTCGAATCTACGGGTATGGTGACAGGCACAATGCTTGAAAAATGCAGTTTGGTGATGACTCCTATTCACGACTCTTTTGATCATTATTATAAACTAACAGAGGTATGAAAATTTGCAAGTTCTATAAATTAGCACAATATCAACTACAATAGGTGACTCCAATAGGACATCAGTTTTTCTTCCTCCATCCTTTCCCACAGATATCCCAAATGCTGAAAAACATATTATAACCACCCTCTTCCTTAACACAGTGAAGGTAGAGAAGTTCACTTGGTAAAGCACTATATATGCCTAACATTATCTACACTGGTTCACAAAACAGATACAGGGCACACAGCAGTAGAAATAAAACCTAGCTTAAAAAATCATAAGTTGAGTGAAAATGAACTTTTACCTTTCCTCCTCAGTCATATGATGATAAACCATGGTTTGCTGACGCAGCATTGCCAATTCTAAATCCATCATTTGTGTTCTAAACAAGTTCAGGCTCCGCCTCATTACCTGGAGCTCCTGAAAAGTATTCTAAAAGGCAATATACCAAAATTATACTTCTAAATCATACAAATTATTTTGTAACACAAAGATTTGAGTAAGAACTTACTTCATAAAGAGGTAGAACAGATGATTTCTGAGTACTATATGGAGCAGCAGCAAGATCTGGTCCTCTCATCATAGGGTACTTCAAAAAAGTAAGATTAAAAATCAATGTTAAAATGGCTACTTGCAAATTATTCAACGTGTTAAAAAGGCAGAATTTGGGGCCCACATATTTCTTTGAGGCAAAACAAAAAAAACAAAAAAATCCTTCATATTGTAAGCAGGATTAAAAAAAAACAGTCCCCAATGATACCTATTACTGCTAGCTGTTTCAGGTATAAAACAAATTATTTGGGAGGAAGAACAAAGGAAAATGTATAGTTCACATCTATGTCATCTATGTCTTACAGAACTTCCCTCCTGCCTTGAGAAAGTAGAAAAACAAAAAAAACAAAAAAAAACCCCAAAATGTAGATGCAGTTGTAAATGTCATCATGAGATTACAGTAATTATTGGCTAGGCTGGAGAGAGCAGCAAGCAATCACCACAGTCTTCTTAGGCATTGGAGCTTCTCCTATATGCCCCTATTTCAGACAGTGAGATAAAAAGATAAAAGGTGTTCTCAAGCCTTCAAGTGTTCTCATAGTGTAAAGAAGAAGAAAGAGAAGTTAAAAAAGAATTAAAATATAGGGAGCAGGGAGTACTATAATGGAAACAAACAAAAATTTGGATTAGGTGAACTTTGCCAAAAGTCCTGACACTTGAGCTGAACAGGAAATAGGACCTGGTTATACAAAGAAAGGCATGGGAGGGCTTTCCAGGTTTAAAAAAAAAAAAAAAAGTGGCATGTGCAGATACCTAAGAATGTACAACTATTTAGAGACCTGCATGTGGTCCAATACGGCCAAAGCACACACCTCCAGAGTGAGACTAGAGACACGAGTCAGAGGCCACATGATGGAGAGAGCATGTGTCTGCTGGCGTAGGGTAGGGTGGATGTGGGGAGATTCGTTGGCTGAGTTACTGACAGCACATCCAAGAGGTAGAGACCACAGTTAGAGCAGAACAAGCTGGCCTAGAAAGTGAAGTGTACCGTGAGGGTGCAGGTGGACAGGGGCCTGGAAATCCCCGGCTCCACATAATGTGAGCTGAAAGGGTGTATATCTCAGTCACAGACAGAACTACATTTTGTAAGGAGGAAGAAGAAACACCCACATTTTGGTTAGACTAAAAGCCATCAGGAGACAAGTGTCACGAGGCTAAAACCCACGTATATTAAAAGAAGGTATATCTGACTATAACTTGAAAAATTACAACTTTGCTTTCTACTTTTACAGTAGCTTCCTGTCTACTATTTCATGATTAGAGACATATTACATTCATTCCGGGCCACCTGCATTGAACACAATCATCATTACACTGACATTTTCTTCAATACTTTAATTGTCGAAATGCAAGTAAGTTCAGAGAGAGATTCAGAAAAAATGTGAAAAGCAAACATGACAGCCTATTTATTTTCAAAGTTTTTGAAAATTATTTCTACTCTACTAATAAACTTGAGGGTGTTGACTTTAAAAGTGACAAGACATACTGAGCATTTTGAATCAAATTCACACTTTACCTGGTTTTTTTTTTTTTTTTGCTTTTTTCTGTTCTGGAGTAGTCCCAGTATTTGAACCCAGTGGAAGAAGACTAATTCTGTGCCAGAAGACCAGCATCAGGGGTCATTAGGAGAAGGGGAAGGCTTAGCCCAGAGAGCCAGGAGCAGAATCAGGAGAACATAGTACCACAGAAGTCAATGAGAAAAACACTTAGAAAAAGAAAAGATGGTTAACACATTCAAATGGCAGAGATAAGGAGGGAAAGGACTTTAAAAGGGAACATTTTTAATAACAGGTACAACCTGACAAGATTCTAGACTAAGACAAAGATAATAGAGGATAGGCTAAAAAAGGGAGGATACCTAATGAGCAAAATCTCTCCTCTAGGAAGGGAGGGAGATTAGTAGCAAAGAAATTAATTGTGTTCAGGATTAGTTATGGCTTTTCCCTTGAAATAGGAGGGAAGCATAAAAAAGGACAGATATAGGTTAAGTTTAGACGTGTAAGAAAATAAGCTCAGGGAGTTCATGCCTGATGGGTCCCCACTTCTGAGGGAATTAAGAGGTGCTTGGAGCAATAAAAGTAAAAAAGATATACTTAATAAAGACATGCTTTTCTTCATACCTGTGAAAGATTCTGCAGAGAATTTCTAATATCATGCAATACTCTTCGCAACTGCATTTCTATGGTGGAAGGAGGATTCACAGAGCACGCTCGGTAAGGGTAGGCAGCATGTCTATGTGAGTAAGGACACCCGAAAGGGGATGCAAAGGCACTGCAGGTGGCCCCTGATATGTTGGGAACACTGTGCGTGCTCAGAGTTCTTGTGTGCTCACACAGGGGCCTTTCCGGCCACTCAGAGTGGATGGAGTGAAGGGAGCAGGTGGACTGAGATATGGGTGCTGGAACAAACTGTGAACAGGTAGGAGTCCTTCTGTGATGGCATTCCTCCAACTGGGTCACCTCACTCTGGGACACTGCTTCTTTCTTCATAGATGATGGAGAGATGAAAACGGTGGATTTGACTAAAGACTGACCGTCATGCTCCATTATTCCCTTTTCTAATTCCTGTTCCTCTTCAGGTGTGTACTTATAGGTGAAGGAAGGTGGGCTGCATCTGGTCTCTTTTCCTGGAGACAACCTAACATTGACAGAGGACACAACCCTTACTGGGCTCAGTAAGGTGGTTGGCAGAGATTGAGACCTTCTTAGAGGATAGCCAGCTTTTGCAAGTAAGTACCTTTGTTTTAACAGATCTTTCGATTTTATCAAGCTGCGCCCTATTCTTTGATTAGAAAGACTGCAAACCTTCATCTGAGCTCTTTGCAAAGCTGTATTAACCCTGTCCACAGAAGAGGGAGGCCCAGCTGCATTTTCAGAGCTCGTCTCACTATATTTAGCTTCAATAGATGCCAAAGATTTCAGAATATGATGTGTGGTATATTGAGTAAATTCACATTCACTGCTTTTATCCACATCACTTTCAGCACTTGCTTCCCTCAGTAGCTCTACCGTCTGTGCTGGAGACAAATCCTCTTTTATTTCAGTAATTTCAGTAACACGATCCCCTGGACTACAGGTGGACTGTTTCTTTCCTGTATTCTCAAGGGCCTGGCATGGAGGGAAATCCTGGCTGTCTGACTTGCTTTCTTCAGCAACTGTTGCTGCCTTCTCCATTCCCTTCTGAAGGGGAATGAGAGACTCCTCCACGGATTCATTAAAACAGGGCTGGTCTTCTGCTGTTGGTGTGACAAGGTCTTCACCAAATGATGTGACTGTTGTCTCACTGTCACAGCTATCAGCACTACTCCCCATGGCTTGCAAGGACTCGTGAACCTGTGAAAGGAAAACAGGGGTGGGGGTGGGGGTGGGGTGTGTGTGAAGAAAACAAGTAAAAAACATCATTAACAAAATACCAAATTGATCTGATGCTTCTATACTTTTACCATTTCCCACTTTGGTTGTAGACCTAGTACTGCTCAAAACTGTTTTTACTGCCCCTAGTTTGCAACCCCTTCCCTCTCACTTCTCACAATTATTTCAGATCTTCACTATTTTCCTTAAATCCCCTTTCCAACACCCTCTTCCTCTCCTTTTAACACATGACACTGACTCAGAGAGAAAATGGACAAAAATTTCTTAAGGTTCTTCCCCAACACCTATAAACTTCCCCATATCTCTCCCCATCGTTCCTTCCTTCCCTCCATTCTGAAAGGAAACTGTTTGCCTTATTCAAAGCTACTCCCTCCAACCTGTGTTTCCAATCACATTCTCCCCAGGACCCAGGTATTTCCCCAGCTTCACCCCAGCGTTTTCTAGATCAAACTCTACTTCTCTTATATAGTTCCATCCTTAGCTGAACCACTTCCCTAAATTATTCCTGTGTTAACAAGACAAAAAGATCTACCATCCTTCCTTATTTGACAAAATGGTCAACATTTTTAACTTCTTTTCCTCACCCTTGCTTTACTCTCTAATCACGATTTTGTGTCACTGACCCCATCAGAGCTACTTTCTCCCAAGGCTCCTGACAGCCACAGCTTTCCTTTCAAAGTCTCTCATCCATCCTCCAATTTTCTGTCTGCTTGATTATTCCTTCTGAGTTTCCTTAGATATGTCTCTTACATGTTTACCCCTTAAATGCTATGTTCCTAAAGGCTCTTTGGGGGTTTTTTGGTCATCACAATTTCCTTTAGAACTTGCTTTTAGGTGTTTTAAATGCTTTTTGTATACATTCTGTGTACTCCACATATAGACTACAAGCTCCTCGAGGACAAAGCTATGCCTATTTTCTGGGTTATCTAATACAGTCTAGCAGAAAAGTCAGTATAACATTCAGCAAGTTATAGATCCATGCTTATTTTAGTTATTAAATAAGACAATTTACTGTAAAATAGTGAAACACAATGACAGAAAAAAATAAGAACAATAAAAGACCAAAAAAGGTTAATAATCAAAATAATCTGTTTACTAGTGGTCCAAAAATTAAGAAAGAGAAGTTTTTCTTTCATAGTCAGAAAAGCATTAGTGAAACCTAAAATTTGTAGTCAAATGCTTAGACAACATCTACGTCCCAGAAGGAATTATATTCTGCCATTTGAAAAATAAAGATTAGACAGATTCAGTCTTAAAACATATAGTTACTGAAAAATCATCTTAAAATTATGAAGTTTAGTGCCTATTACAATAGAAAATTTTACCTGAAGATGATTAAGGGATATGCAATCTGTTGAATCTTCAGCAAAACCACTGCTATCAGAATGCTGACTTGCAGTTCGTAATAGATGATCTATCAATAAAAAAGTCTGATTATACAAAACTGCTAAGACTTCACTGAGAGCAATATTATCACAGATATATGACTCTCAACAGATATAAGATATACAAAATAGATTCCTTCTTAGAAAAGTGTGCATTACTTATGCAAAATTGTGGCTTCAAAGCATAGGAGGCAACTCAAATTCAAACAAAACTGAATCAAATCTTTCATCAGAAACTCTCAGTATTCAGTTGTTAATTAAGCTTTAGTAAAACTATTTTGGAAAATCCAATTAATGTCTTATCCTTGGAGGACAGCTAGCTAAAACAAAAGATGGCTCTAATAAAAACAGAAGTTCCAAAGTAAACCATTTCCATTATGTAAGGAGGTGAAATTAGAAGTTCAAATGTATAGTATATTGTGTCAAACTTTCTATCATCTTCCTAACAAGAAAATAAAAATACAATTAAGTCAAATAAATTAAATAATTTGTCTCTGATGTTTCAAATGGTACAAATATTTGTTAAGTTATGAAACAATTCTTTCATAACAATTACACGAAACTCCATCAAACAGGTAATATTGTTAATCTTATAAAATCCTTCTGTTTATTTTTCTGCCTCGAAACTCTTAATTCCTGGCTAGTATAACGTAAAAAAAAATGTTTTACATAAGTAAATAGACCAGATAAGCACAGCAAGCATGATCACATTCCATACATACAACAACTACCATATTGAGAGAAGTCACAGTTATTACATTTATCAAGGGAGATGCTTCATGAGACAGCACAGTTATGTGGAACTTCAAAAACAATATGCCAAAAAAAAAGGTTTATCAAAACCATTTCATTTAAGATTTTATCCATATTAAGAACCAGATAATATGATTGAATAAAATCCAAAATCTATTAAAGTTCACCTGGTTTTTAAAAGTATCCCACTGAAGACTCAGTTTCCACAGAATAATTTTCCCATTAAAATTTTAGAATAATTCTGTAATATTGTTGTGATATTTTTTAAAAATGCCTAATGAAATATAAGAAATCACTCCATGTCCTTGATGAGTCTAGGTAAAATGGAATAACTGTGAAACTGAATTACAATAAACTATTACCATCAGTACTAATTACCATTGTATTAATTAAAATTAACATCTTATAGCAGTTATCACTATATATTTATGTCTTTTTTTAAACTAGATTGTGAGCCTTCTGAAAGCAAAACCTTATTTAGTGTTGTTTGTATCCCAGTAGCTAAAATAAGCTGACAATAAATGATGTTTGCTGAATGAATCAATGATAACTATTTCCTTAAAGCAATAATAGAATTAAATAGTCACTTAAATGATTTAGAAGTGAAATCCCCTATGTGGTTGGGCAAAGGACAGTTGCTTGAGTGCCCAAGGAAGCCAGAGTGAGCAGCTCTGACGTGGGTTCCCTGCTAAGATCTGTTTTATCTGCTGCAGAGTTGTCTGTGCTGAGTTCACCTCACAGCTGTTGAGCCCTGTCTGGGTTCACATAGGTTAGTCATATTTAGACTGCTTAAGCTTCAAAACAGGTGTTGGGCAAAGGAAAGAACAAGGAGGCCTGGATTCATGTTCCTGCTGCATTTTATCATTGTAAGCAGTAGCTTCTCTCTTCTGCAAAATGGAAGAAGAGTAATTCTTCTATCTCAGATGGCTATTTCAGCAACTAAGTAGAATGTAGATGAACTATTTTATAAACTATAAATATAAATCACAATCTAGGTTCTTTAGTCAGATATTTGTTTCCAAAAAACACAATTCTCAATAGAAAAGGGTAGAACTAAAAATTATTAGATTTCTGTCCTGAAGATGTAAAATGTGATTTCTAACTAAAAACTAGGAAGTTAGAGGAAACATTAAAGTGAGAGAAAAAATCTGGAAATTTTATTTGTCTAGAATCATTAAAAAACCAAAACAGAACTGTATACTTTCTGCTAAAGAAAATGCTGTATGTCTTCTATAATAAGAAAACTGATGGACTTCTCTCAACACATCTATCAAATGTTAGCTGGCAAAATAAACTGAGTTACTAAACCTCTCTGGGCCTTAGTGTGTGAATATTGGATTGGATTTGAGATTAAGGCAATTTTATTAAATTTGCAATACTAAAGTACTGTATGCATTCTTACTAAACTTTTGAAGTAAATATATTTCTTGTGATTCTAACTCTGTAGCTATGATCAAAGATATTTATGTAGCCCATTATCAAAATTTGACAGGCTATCTTTCAAAATGACAAAAACAGCTCTTGAAATAAAGTAATTTTATTCTTTTTTATCTTCCTTTTGACACATCTGCTTTTTCCAATGTATCCCTTGTCTAATTGCCTAAAGCAAGGACTCTGATAGCCCTGAACTCGGCTCAGAAACACATACATGCATTTATGAACTTACGAGGGGAAGAAAATTAAACAGGAAAGCTTGTTTTGTGTCTGGTCAGAACTGTAGTGACCTAGTGAGAGTGCAGCTCTTGTTTCTTAATGCCATATTGCAATGAAAGAAAAATTATATGCAAATTATCTCTTACAAAGTAATTTCAGAGAACAAACATGTAATTTCCTATTCTAAGAACATACATAGGAATCTGTGTTTAAAAAAAAAAAACAGGGTGGTTCAGTGTGTGTAAAATTTTAAAAATAAAACAGTCCTACCTTTGGTGGTCATTTTAACTTCTTCCTCTCTCCTTTTTTCTATCTCAAAAGCTTTGTAAATTTAAGGATCAGACATTTTTTTCTTGTTGCAAGTTAAAAGTGAAAGGAATGGATTCAAAGGTTCTTTGGTCAATAATTAATAATTCAAGAGAAGAACGATATCTACAGCCACTCACCTTTGATCCACAGTTTGAATTTAACTATGCTTAACTACTGCTGAAAAATTGGTGTTTTTTGTCAGAGGCATATTTGTATATTAAACCTAACAGCTATATTTAAATAATAAACCCCTAGAGATAGATGATAAAGTACATATTTCAATCACAACAATGTAAAAGGTGGCCCTACTTCCCATACAGCCCTTATGTAGAAACTGAAAAAATATATAGAGCACACAAAATTGTGTAAAGAGGTCATTACAGAATAAGCAAACTAATTAGTTTATAAGCAGAGAAGTCTTCAAGAAAATACAAAAAAATCTATAACCAAGCAATAATGAAGCATGCCTACCTGTGTTCTTAATCTTTTCACATTTACAGGTACTACAAATACAGATACGTAAAACTCTCTTCCAAATCAACTCACAACACTTTGAAAGTGTGCTCAGGAGGTAGTGGGTATTGTTCAACTTACCTCTTTTTGACTTGGTAAGACCTAGCTGGTAAGTGGCTGGAACATGAGGCACTTCTCCCTCTGTGCTTTGAACCTAAAGAAGATGTTAAGGTAGTTAAAACTAAAAGAATCTAGGGCAAGGAAGAATAGTAACCTCTTGATAACCAACCATCTGTTGAATCAACCTAACTAAAAGTACACCAAAGCATTATATATATACTTAAAGACATCCTGTCTCAAAATTATTAAAATGTTCCACAATTCAATTTTCTGATCTACTTTCCAGTTAACAATAGCACTCAAGTTTGCAGCTTACAAAGAACAATAACTGCATATATAAGCCACTTCATTAAAAAAACTTGCTATTAGATGAAAATTAGATCTGTAAGAAAAAGTTCTTCTCTAAATGTTAAACTTCAAAGTCGGGTCAATCCGGGGAGAAATGCTAATGCATTCACTGCAGCACACCATGACCAACATGCAATCAAAGCAAATGCACGAGTATTGGATCTTTGAAAATGGAACACTGTGCTACTATTGCAAAATTGTCTAAAATCCCCCAAATTTTCACCTATCAAAAACCAGTCATGTATAAGACTGCTTTGTCCTGATACAAATGTTCTTTCAAGACATAAGTTGTAAGTGGAAAAGCAGGTTTCATTACAGAACTAAAATTAGCCATAAATCCTTGCTGAAAACTCTGTTCAAAGACGGTAGCAAAACTACAAAAGTTGTCTTTTGTGCTTTTTCTTCTACCTGCACAACTACATAATTAGAAATTTTCAGATTCCTAGTCACCACCGTTACCCTGCAAATACTCGATTCTAACATAATTAACTCTCTATCAAGATTAAACATTTGGAGGGGGGAGAGGTACAATAATTTCCATCATTTGATCTTGTAATGATTAGTACTTAAATAGTAAATAACATCCTAAAAAAGTAGGCAAGCTAGCCAAATATATGAGTTTCCAACCTTGAATAAATCAGAGAGCAAATAGCAAAGAGGTTTTAGTTAAAACTCTGATAGTTTTGAGCTATGAATATATTCAAGAATAAGAAATATTCCATAGGAGTAGGAGTGGAATAACATGAAAAAAAGCCAAGGGTAAAGATATTATTAGCCAATTTAAAAATTGTTCTGATTTGTAATATCTTTGTACTACATAGTTTCCTGAACTCAAGTTTATGAATCTTTTGAAAATCAACAGCATACTGGTTATTTAAAACCATCATCTATAAATCAGATATGTAAAATAGGTTCTACTATTCTTTGTCATTATGTAAAAATCATAGTATATTCTTCTAAGGAGCAGACACAAGTTCAACAGGAAAACCATTGTTTTGTGTGCAAGGGAACAAAATGAATTTTCTTTTTATATTCAACAAAAGGTCTATTATTAGCCTCTATTCAGGCCCAACCTACTTCAAAGAGTTTGCTATAAAGTAAATATCAACCATATCAAAGAACTGTAACAGAAATCCAAATGCCTCTTTATTTATGTTCTAGGAATCTTAGTTTAGGCATAGCATTATGATACATCAGGAATTATCACATATTCTAGTTCCTTAGGCTTATAAAATTATAATCACAAAATATTATAACTTTAATAAACGTGTATCCTCAGTGTACTATCCTTTTCCTCTATGGCTAAAAAAAAAAAATTATTGTCTCTCTCTCTCCCCTCTCTTTCACTACAAACTCCATAATTAATTGCAAGAAAGGAATAAATAAGAAAGCTGAGAGGGTCATATTTAATAATAAAACTACTAAAGTTAAGATCATTCTTACTCAGCAAAATCATACTACCTACTTGCTGAAGAGAGAAACAGACATGCTAGTGATAACAGGTGAATTTCTTACCTTATTTTATTATTGATCATAATTATGCAAAAGCAAGCAGTCAAATTCAAGATGGGGTACACCATAGAGAATTATGAAGCAAATACAGAACTTAGATTTATGTAGCAAGATTTTTTTCCCTATTCAATGGTTTCAAATGCTCAGCAGAACTCTCTGGTCATTTGCTATAGGTACAATTTTCATTAAATTAAAAAGAATGGCCACGGCCGGGCGCATGGTGGCTCCCGCCTATAATCCTAGCACTCTGGGAGGCCAAGGCAGGTGGATTGCTCAAGGTCAGGAGTTCGAGACCAGCCTGAGCAAGAGCTAGGCCCCGTCTCTACTATAAATAGAAAGAAATTAATTGGCTAACTAATATATATAGAAAAAATTAGCCAGGCATGGTGGCGCATGCCTGTAGTCCCAGCTACTTGGGAGGCTGAGGCAGTAGGATCGCTTGAGCCCAGGAGTTTGAGTTTGCTGTGAGGTAGGTTGACGCCATGGCACTCACTCTAGCGTGGGCAACAAAGTGAGACTCTGTCTCAAAAAAAAAGAAAAAAAAAGAATGGCCAAATAAAACTCAATAGAGTGATGAGTAATAGGTGTTCATTATACTATTTTCTCTAATCTTTACATTTTAAACTTTTCATAATAAAAATGGGCGAAAAATCCACTAAACCAAAATGATAAAATCTCTTGGCCTCAGTGTTTTGGGATTTAAAGAAGTATGAAAACAGCTTTAGAGTAACTCATACATTTGGGTAACTTCATTTAAAAAAATTTTCTCATAAAACAAACACTGTATCTTTCTGAATCTATGTCCTGCTAACATAACAGGCACACACTTTGGTTTCTTAACAGCTATCTTGTTTATTTTGACTAAGATGCATCTTCTAGGCATAATACCACTGTACTGTGTTCTACAGAACAGAAGCATGTGGATGTTCTAATGCAACCTTTCCTCTAAGGTTTAAAGAAACACTATATAGTTCTTATCATCATAAAATATACTATATATAAAAATAATTTTAAAAAAATCAAAACTAGAGCTTTAAAAGTTACAATTCTAATTTTTAATGACATCTCAAAAGAGAACATTATTTTTCCACAATAGTAGTACAGGGCTGCACAGTGCAGGGCTGCACATCAGATGACAAGTTCCTGCCCAACGCCTGATAATACCAACCAGCCTGACCTCTGCCAAGTTGTATAGTTAAAACCAGCCAGTCTATAGAAAGAGCTAAATTCAAGTCTTATTCATGCGACTTTCTGGATAATGGTTTCTGGCAATTATCTATGATAATTATCTCAGTTTTCTCAACTTCAAAATAAAGGCTAAAACTCCTACCTTACAGGTCCTTAGAATGATCAATTGTGACTATAAGTGAAAGTACTTTGAAACAGAAAAGTAATAAAGAGGTTCAACAGGAGATTCCTCTTTCATCCCCTACTGATCTCCCCCCATCCATCCCCCCTGCCCCAGGCACTGGTATCAAAGAGAATATTATGTCCCTCAAGAAGACAGTGGAGAACCACTGCTATAACATAATATCATGTGTGGGAGGTGGAGGAAATGCTTCTTCGTCTGTAAAGGGAGAAAACTGGAAAATAAATTAAAAGATTCTGCCTCGAGTAGTAGCTCATGCCTATAATCCCAGCACTTGGGGAGGCCAAGGCAGAAGGATCACTTGAGGCCAGGAGTTAAGACCAGCCAGGGGATCATAGCAAGACCCCATTTTCACAAAAAAATTAAAAATTTGCTGGGTGTGGTGATATGTGCCTGCAGTCCCAGTTACTTGGGAGGCTGAGGTAGGAGGATCACTTGAGGCCAGGAGATTAAGGATGCAGTGCGCTATAATCACGCCACTGCATTCCAGCCTGGACAACAGAGTGAGGCACTATCTATAAATATTAAAAAGAAAAACAAAAACAAAAAAACAGGTGGGCATGGTGGCACTCACCTGTAGTCTCAGCTATTTGGGAAGCTGAGGCAGGAGAGGATCACTGGAGCCCAGGAGTTCAAGGCTGCAGTGAGCTATACTGCACTACTGCACTCCAGCTCCAGCCTGGGTGATAGAGTAAGATTCTATCTCTTAAAAAAAAAAAAATTCCTTTCTGGGCCAATTTATGATTCTATAATTACTTATAAATTTTTAATCTTAAAAATGCTCTCAAATTTTTACATGTACACACATATATAGTTTATTTTTACTGTCACGTAAATCCTATTTTTAAAAAAGATACCTTAAGTTTTTTAGATAAATATCAAATAACAAAACTCTAGTTAATTGGGCTTTGAAGTAACAGACATCTGTGCATATGTCATGTGTTAGAGTTCACATTCTAGCACACACTTATCTTCAAAAAACATACAGTTAAACTTGGAAGGCCAAAGGAACAACTTAACTATCTGTCAAATATCTGATTAATTGGGGATTATTTTAAGTCACACCAATAAATATAAAAGAATCCTATTAGTTCAATCAACAATTAATATAAAGATAGGATTAGAAACAATTACTAAACTTCAGTAGCTTAAAAAAGATGATTATGTATACATCCAATAATGGTTATATTTAAATATAAATTTCATTTATAGAGTGACAAGGCCACACGACAAATTATTCACAGATACAGAGACAAAACTTCACCTTCCTATGACCCTTAAGAAGTTCTGTTTCTACACCTAGTAGATAAACAACTGCTTGAGTGGGGTCATTTTGGCTTAACTGTTAGTTATTCATACTATTAACACTAATCTTTTGCTTCAGAGAGTTACCATGATGTATTCAAAATAAGCCATTCAAGAACGCGAGAATTACCCAAGCAAGCCATTAAGGATGCGAAAATTCAACAGTGGGGTTGTATAACTTTCAGATACACTGCAACATTTTAAATAGTCTAAAAAACATTTTTTATAAAGCAAGTTGACTCTTAATTGAAAATAATCTCTGGCCTTTTTGTTTGTTTTTCCTTTTTTGACATAAGAAATGGCCACTTTCGTTCTCTAGGCCCGGATCAGGATCAGTCTTGTCATTTTATTTAGCTCTCTTTACATTTAAGTATTTCCTCTTTTTGCTTCTGGTGACTGTCAGATCTTACCTCCTGTCTTAGACGGATTAGGCAGCTTCATGCACACAGCCCCATCTGCAACACTTTTTCCTACCTAGCTTCCCAAAGCATCTGGTGTTCAGATAATCTGAGAACTGGTTCACTGAGAGAAAAAGAGCTCTAACTTATAGTTACTCACTGTTTTCACAGGAAGAAAGTTCCCAACAGGAATCTAACCTCAACTGAAAGGGGTCCAAAAGAAAAACAGTAAGCTACTTTGAATGGGATCTAAAAGTTTGCTTCAGTAAGATTGTTCTCTTCATTTGTCAATATGATTCAAATGTTTGGCAGAAGAGGAAATTAAAGAAACACATTATTTCCCTTCTTTATCCATTGTTCTACAAGCTCTTTTTAAAATTCCCAAAGGGATAAAAACACAATTCTCGGAGGTTTTTATCTATGCTTTAAATATATCTGAAGAATAAGGATGCATTATTCTTAAAATTCCTCATATTTACAATGTAGCTATGGTTGGCCATATATTCTTTCTTTTAAAACAAAAATCTTCCATTATTCTTCAACCACTGATGCATGCAATCTTGCACTTTAAAACGTTCACATCAACTTAGCTACTTTCTTCATTAACTGTTTTTGCCAGCAGAGGGGGCAAAAAAATATATAGCCTTTAATCATTACAGTTAACTTGTCACCAAAGTGTATCTAGCACTTTATTAATGTTTAAAAGACCTTCTGTGTATGGTATCGTAGAAATTAAAGTTAAAACATACACACCACAAAAACCTATAGCTTATAATTCAGAATTCTAGAAATTAAAAAGGAACTGCTTTGACTTCTTTGAAAATACACATATAAGAGTGTTGTTTAATGTAAGTTGTCAATATCCGATTTGCAATTACCTAACATAATTTGGTTAGATTTTAATACTCTGCTATTGTATTAAAACAAGGAAACCGACTTTCATATCTAATTGTTATAAAAGAGGGACCCTAATGGAAGGCAAGAACTTATACTTTAATTCTGAGTGCTGAGACAAGTTTAGATCAAAACAAAGTAAAAAAGAAAAGAAATCAAAGAGTGAAATAGAACAAAGAGAAGTTTTAATGTAGTCATCATATAGTACTTTCATACTATGATGAGAAATAAATTGTATCAAGAATTATGGTAATAGGAGAAATATAAAAATATATACAGATGCAAAAGAAAAAGCTTACAAGAATATCTAAAATATTCCAAAGGGCTGCTCCTGCACCCTTTTTATTTCATTTTTAGTAATTAAAGTACTAACCGACAAAAAAGGTAGATAGCTATGTCAGCAATTGAAATTTTGCAATAAATAAAACAATCTTTGTTAATGTAAAAGAGACACGCTCACCTAAGAGGACATTTATGGACAGAATCAACTATCTTGTTTTCCAGTTCCCTAAATTAATGAGATGTTAACTACTACTAAAACTAACCTTCTGTAATAGATTTAAAAAAGAAAAATTACACATTATATAATGTATAGCCACAACTCTTCACCAGCACACATGCCTCAGTGTCCTTATAAGTATAGTAAGAACACTACTATGTGCCTCACAGACTAAGATAGAGTATTTCAAGGGCCAAGTGCAATGCCTACCATAGGGCAGGTGCTTGATAAACTTTCCCGCCTCGAATTATTATACATAGCTCTGACTAATAAGTATCAACTCCTACTGTTCAAAAGCAGTTTTGGCTGAACCTCACCAAAATGAGTATCTTTATCTTGTCCATTTCAAAACTTATGTCAACTAGCAGGAATATCTCTGGATAACCAAAAGTAACCAAACATTGGTCTTCTGGGCTTGCAAGAACCCTACTCAGTGGCCTTTCAAACGTCCTTCAAGGTTCCCTATCCTCCCCTTCAAGTGCGCATGATCTTGATCTTTCCAGTCACATACCAACACCCATCCTCAAAGCCTTCTTTCCACTTAACCGCACCACTGAGGCATGTTAAGAAAAGTTCTCCAAAGACACACAGCAATTCAGTGGCAGAGGCAGAATCCGAATCCGTTTCATTTCAAAGCCAGTGTTTTATAACTAATATGCTGATATTGATTTGAATTTAAATGTCCTCTCTCAGGGTTTTCTTGAACATCAAAATCTTACCCTTGAGAGAGAAAAGGGGGTTAAGGTTCAAGTATCAGCTAGTGGATGACAGAAGATCTGGAGGACCTGATGAACTGTCTATTACTTTGATATCACACAGTGCTGTCACCCACTTCGTGGTTTGTGAAACATAGACCCGGAGAGTCAGAATTAGGATGAATTTTTCTAGTATAAACCTATTAGCTACTTCTCATTTTATAAACATTTTTGGTACTTTTTTCCCCCTTAGTTCACTATCTGGAACCAGTCTCAATAATTTTTTCACTTACCTCTTCCATCTCGAAGGAGTCCTTCTGCTGTGTCATCATGTTTTTTATGTATGCAATAGTCGGTGGCGCACATGGCTCTTTTTCAGGTGTGGACATGTGGACATTTTTCAGTTCACTGCTATTTTCCAGCTCGCTGTGGCTGGAAAGGTTGAAATCATTACCTAAATCAGATTCTATAATTACAGATTCCTCACCCAGTTTACTCTCATGACTTTGAGTTTCTTTGCTTTGTTCACTTGCAGTTTCTTGGTTAAAATTATTATTTGCTTCATCAGAAAGTCTATCAATATCAACATTCTCCATAACAGCTGCTGAACTACCTGAGACTTCTTCTTTAACTGTAGCCAACATAGAAGATGAATCTTTCTTCTTCACAATTTTTTGAGGCTTTTGATCATTTTTATTACCACTTTCTTCAATCACTGAAACATTTAGAATCTTTCCTTTTTCAACTGTCGGGGAAGGACTACTACCCTCTCCTTTCTCTGTCTTATCAACACACAAATTTAGTTTTGATAGTGTTTTCATTAAACGATTTGCAGTGTTGCTTCGAGTTAAAGGTGGAGGTGAGTCTGTCTCCTTGTTAGAGGTCACTGAGGACACACTTCCAATCCTCTGCAGGGGAGTCCCAGAGACTTGGGAATACAAAGAAGAAAATGCATTGGCCACAGTAGTAAGCACTTCAATTTGACGAAAACGGCCTACCAAAATAAAAAAAAAAACATTAATTATGTGTATATGTCTGTTTAAATATATACATATACTAAGCATATACTGTTAAAAATTCTAGTAACTAAACTTGGACCGAAAAGATTTTAAAACCATATTTTTTCCTCATCTAACACTGAAACCTTCTCTACATTTACTGGGTGGGAAAAAGAAGGAAGATTTTTACTCTGAATACCAGAATTTATATTTTTAAAAAATCAGCAATAAACACAAAGCATGATGGTAACACTGACTATAACCGAAAGAACTAGTTATTGATCTACACCTGTGATTCCATTTTCAAGTCTTGGACTCTCTTAGGACTCTTCAAAATGTTCTCCTAAGAAAATGCACATATGTGTCTATTTTATACCTATTTGCGGGGGATATATATAGCTATATAGACCTCTTAGAACTGATCCATGAACAATGTAGGGGGTCCTATTTTTGGAAACTTTTGGTCAACAGAAAAAAATTAAGCAAAGGTATGAGTAAATAATATGAATAAAAATGATCAAATTAGTCGTGCTATTTTAGATTTACAGTAAAGCACCTGAAATTGACCGATTTCATTTAAGGTTAACAAGGCCCCTCCCTACTTCTTTTCATCGCAAACAAGAGCAATCTGGAGATAAGGAGAAGATTCTGCAAGTAAGTTATCCTAACACTTAAATGAGTCAAGAACTGGGGAGGAAGGAAAGAATAGGTTAGTTAACCACTATTAATAAAATAATAAAAATTCCGAATAAGATAACTATTGCATTAATTAACCTCACCGATTAACTTTCCAGTGCTATTACTAAAATTCCAGTGCTATTACTAAAATAAGACCATTTTTCTGTGGATGCTATAATTTAAAAATAATATGCTAACACTTAAAGACCTTACTTGTTAAGGCATAATTTGGGTTTTCTACTTCCATCCGTTGCATCTGAGCACTCAGAAATACTTTAATATCTATCCCTCTGGCAAATGATGATGAATTAAAAAATCTGGAAGGAATTTTAGAAGCAATATCTGGTTCATCACGTCCAAATCCAAGATTATACAGAATTTCTTCAGGATCTTCCTCATAAAGTTCTAATAGTTCTGACACACTACAAAAAAAAGAAGAAAAAAGAAACATGAACATGTAAAATAAATGTATAGTCCACATCACATTACAGATGAATACATATTCTTGCTTTCCTGTGATAAAATCTTTTTCTCAACTTCTGCTCTTTAAACTATTATTTATTTCACCATCTCCATACACTGTGTACTGACAGGATGTACAGCCCTTAGGAAGGGTCCATTCTCTCTAGCTGCCAATGTTGGAAAGGGTAGATAACCCCGAGGAACACTCAGAGACTGAGAAATTCCTCACCTTATTTTTTTGGTCATTTTAAACAGATTCCCAGTAAAGCAGCTAAAACACTTAGAGAACAGATGAGGAAGAAGGAATAAATAGATTAAAGAAGAAATGAAAAGAGAAAATTCACTAGGAAGTTCAGTACTCTGGTGCTGAAGGACACTCTGGGAAACTTGAGCTTTTCTGCTACCTCTGTCGTAGGAGAGACAATAAAGGTAACAAACTGATTTCAGAAAAATGAGACAGGAGCTTACTTTCAACTTTTCTCTAACCACCCAGGAAGTAGGAGGAGTAAGGTATGGAAAATATCAGTTACACAAAGGTAACTATTTGCCCTAATTCTTATTGTCTCTTCCCTCTGATGCCAGTGATAATCCAAGCTTTCTAAGACTCACTGAAGAAAACAGAAAAACTAGAGACGAAACTTGAACAGAAGGATTTTCAATCTGCTTCAGAGAAAATGCTCAGATTCCAATGCAATAATTTGGATAACAGTTTAAACTGCTTCCACAGGCACACATATTAGCTTATTTTAATATACTGTGTATTTTAAATATATTTGGCTTAATTAGTTGAAATAAAATGTGCTTAAATATCAAGCTTTAACTTAGAAAGATTTATTCTGCTTTTTATGTCAGCTTTAACTTAAGTCCCTAACAGAATGGAGAATTTTCATTCTCTACAGTTAGAAGTTACACCACTCTGGAGTTCCTCTTTCAGGTTGTTGATGTGGCTCAAAGTATTCATTTATGGATTCTAGTGCATAATAAACCTATCTGCTTTTTATTTAATCTCAATTTTAAATAGAAAAAAGAAAAAAAGAAGCAGTTCCTATCAGTTGTTCTGGTCCAGGAAACACTTTGAGTTCATTTTGATTTCATACTACCAATATCAAATCTAAGACTGAAAAAAATGGTAAGAGTAGGTCATCTGTAACACAATGTAACTCCACATAATTTCAGAATAAGTTACCTTGAGACTGTCCCACTACTCTTCCCAGATCCAGTGGAATTCATACTTCTCCCTTTCTGATGAAACTGTAATCTTCTCTCTTTGGCCAAGATATTACTGCTATAAAGACAATCAGATTATATAAACTTTATTTTCATTAATGTTCTTCATTTTTAAAAAGGAATACAACAGAACAGCTACATACCAGTTTTCAATTTGAGCATCACTTTCATGGAGGTGGTTGGCTACAGATAAAAACAATAAATGTAGAGCACAATTGTTAGTAGGACTGTAACGACTGTGATAAAATTACCAAGAAAGCAAATTACTACATTATAGTTAAATGCCTAATATGTCAAACTCTTGTTTTGGCTCATTAAATCTGCATAATTAAAAGTAATATACAGATAAATAAGAATAGTCCCAGTAGCTTTTGAAGGGTGATTTTGTCTTTCAGCAATGTAAACTTACTTCTACTTGAGAGCTTAAAGTACAAAGACCTATAAGATAACCCATTAAATTTCTTTATCAGGTTAAAAATAAGTAATGAGGAAGATAATGCAGCATATATGTGGTACTGATAATTAAATATAAAAGCTGTTATGAAGAATACTTTAAGAGCAAAGCATGATTTAACATTAAGTGTGGCAATAGTATACATCAATTTCTAATGTGGATTTGTTAAGGTTACAACTGATTTTTCATGCACATAACTTGAAAACTTCTACTTATTTCACTATAAATTTTCTTTTAAAAATTGCCTTTCAACTTTATCCTAGATTAACAAGTTCTAAACAGTTAAGTGTTAATGTTTAGAGTGAGTTAAATTTATATAGACAAATGTAGAGAATGGAATTAATTACAGACATCTATTTCAGCACATTTGATTTTTTTTCATCTCCAAACTGTAAAGTAATGACAATTTTGTTCCTTTGTATATCCACCACAAAGATGCCTAACACATAGCACTCAGTAAATATTTACTTAATGAATGAAAATTGTCCTGAAATAATTTTCAGTAAAACAACATAATGCCGTCACTATTTTATGAGACTCCTTTTTAGGTTCTGGTTTCCAACAAAATTATTCAATATTATAAAACTACCAAAATAGATATCAAAAGTGCTATTGATAGTAATACTGAATTGCATTTTAATAAGGGATTGACAACATATTCAACTGTACCGATTGGGAAGCAGTAAGCTTAAGCTCTTTCCAGAGTTTATTCCTTGAAAATACACGGACAGAAATAATAAAAACTAATATATTCACATATTCTAGAGTTCTAATGTTAGAAGATTCTAAATAAGTTATCTATCTTACAGATGGATTTAAAACAACAAAAGATCGAGGATATTAAACTCAGTGGATAAATTCATTATCATCAACTTAAAAGTTTTAAAGACTTAATAAAATTCTTAATTCTTTTTTTTAAGAAGCACATTAACAGCCAAGCAATACAGCTACCAATAGCCTATTCAAATTGATGAAATAAAAGCACAACCAATGAGCTATAAAACAGCTTTTAAAATACCAGTAAAACAATTAAAAATTCTTGTTTTTACATAGTGGAAAGCTTTATTATGAATCCACTAGAAAACATTACATGACCTGTGACAACTTAAAAATAGCACAACGCTTTTAAAATGCTAATGCAGTCTGGAACAGATACCAGCACAATGATTTCTAATTAAATTCTACCAACTCTGCTATTTTGCCTTTGTCCTATGATCTTCTAAAAGTCAGAAAAAAGAGGAAGGGGGAAAAGGAGATACTTTAATGTAGAAAGACAAGCTGCAGCTGTAAGTATGACATAAGTCTCCTTCGCACTAAAAATAAGCTTCAATTTCGTTTTTTCATGTATAAATATTTAAGTTTCCTTCCTTCTTTAGGACAATTCTTCCCTTAGTTATGTTACTACAGTTCGTCACACACAGTTCCTTTAAGCACTTAAGTCCAAGGAAGACAGATGGACATTTCTCAATGGTTTTTCAGAGCCATTCCTACATGTATCCTACAGGCTGTGGCTAGGTTATAAACATGTTAAAAAAAGGTACTGTGAAATGTGTTTCACTCATTTTTAAGATCTTTGAATTTTGCTCTGAGGATCATAAACTGAAAGCACTCGACTTTTTCATTTCTTATTATTTGAAAACTATACAAAAATACAGTTCTTGCAAACATACCTTCAGCTCCCAATGACAAATCATCTTCAAAACTTCCTCCATTTCTCACAAGCACACCTGAAATTAACATTTGAAAATTCAGAAAATTCATCCTGGTGTTCTGTTCTTCCCCACCTCCATATATGATGATTGTTTTAGTTAAAACAAATTGACCAAGCAAAATATTTTATAATATACAGTAAAATGTTTCAGACCTGAATAGACTTAGAAATTATTCTGATTATACAATTTCAAGAAGTGTAAACTGTTATTTTGTAAAGACATGTTTGCAGCCACATAAAATTCTCAGAAGCCGATCTCCAACCTATTTTATACTTACCATATCTTTGAAGATGTTCAATTAGATAACATATCTTAGCCAAAAGTTTCATGGAGAACCAGACCCTGAAGCAATCGTTCTTCTTACCTACCTCATATTAAGTCAGGAGCACAAAAGCTAGATTTTCCTGACACTGTAAATGTTTTTTATATGCCTTGCCACTACCTGCACATTCTTGTTGTACTTTGAACTTTAGAATTCTGTCTTGCACAGGTGGTAAAATTTCAGGTGTGGCAATTTTAGTTAATGTAAGCAAAGAAATGCTGCACTAAAGTCGACACAACTTTAGTTCAATGTATATTTTCCTTATATTTACATATCATATTTCTATATTTAATTAGTCTTTATAATGTCTAACTGGACAATAAAAATATAAGTTTCACATTGTGAAAAGGTTTGGCAATTTGCTTAAATGCACCACTGTTTTATGGTTTATAACAAGGCTTCTTTTGGCTTCTAGCTCAGAACAACATATTTTATAAACAAGAACATCATTTTTTATAGTTCACATACACACTTTTACCCAGAGGACAAATGAAATAAGACCCTCATAAGAACAGATTTAGAAAGGCAACTTGCTCTTACCCTTGAGTGTACTACTGCTTTGCTCATCCAGTGAGGCTCCCAAAGGTGTACTGAAACCACATAAACATACAAGCCTTAGTCTTGTGAAAAGCTGTCTGGAGAGCTGTCACCATACGGTCTTACTTAAAAGGTTACAACTAAGCAAGCTTCTACTCACAGTTTAACTCTCCTCCCATAACACAAGGAATGCAACTGGATTACATAAGTAATATTCTACTAACTAAGCAAATGCCTATTGTCAAGTCAGTTCACTAGGAATGATTTAATCACACATTTCACCTGCCAGCAATTAAGAGCACTTAAGAGCACAAATGGCAATTACAAATGATATGAATTTGTAAAAAAAAAAAAAAAAAGAGAGAGAGAGAGAGAGAAGAGAATGTCAGTAGGCATTGGGGAAATGCTGCTCCTCTCAATCCCTTCCATAGAAACAGAAAACAGAATTACTGTAAAAGAAAACAAATCTTCAGCAGTAGGTAATTTAACCTGAACACTGAAAAGTTCAGTCTAGTTAGCAACAAAGCTTAACAGTTTCCTTAAATCTCATCTGTTAATCACTAGAATTTCAGAGCACCACCTACTGCCTCTCTTATCTTTCCATATAAATGGAGAAGCTTGCGATTCACTTTCTGATTTTAAACTGAAAAATATAGTCTTCGTTTAACTTTGAAAATTACTAGAAAGTTGGCTTGAGAATCAGTATTAAGAATTAGCCACTACTAAAATTTTTCACATTCTTGTAAAGTTCAAAAAGAGATGACCCAGAAATTTATTTTTTCAAACACAAAAATACTCTTAATCCTCTCAAAACTAAGTTATAATAAAAAACATTTTGTTTTATTTTGAAAATTCTATTTTGTGATACAAACTTTTCTTTAGTAACAATTTATTCTTGTTAAAAATTCACATCAGACCTAGGGCCAATCATGAAAATATCAGTTTCAAAGAAACATTACTGAAATGCTAATTAAATATTAAAACTTTCTGCAAGCAAATACACAAGCAATAGCAGTTCTTTGAAAATCAGTGCTTTTGAAACGTAAAAGAATCGCAAGCAATGACCATAAAGAGAGTAACAAAACCTTTTAAGTTTTTGCATATATTTTAATAAAATTCTAATTTATGCCTTTAAAAAGCTATTCTTCTTCCCTGATGGTTACTTTCTTAGTTAGATCAAAATACTGTATTATTCTGTCTACAGATGTCTCTATTGGTCTATGTGCTAACAGAAAATGGCAAATAAGCAGAATTGACATTCCCCTTTGAAAACAAATCTCACTCTTTCTTCCAGTTGTTCCCTTCCAAATTCCATCAAAATCTCTATTCTTTCTTAGATACTAATTCAAGAAATTTGTTTCCACTTAGTTAAAAAAAAAAAAAAGAATATCAAAATAACGATTCCTTTCAAGGAGAGAAAACATAGTATCTTTACTCAGGATATGGACAGCAATAAAAACAACACAGAATATTTGAGAACTTATCAAGGTGGAAAATGGTGTTTTCAGGTCATTTGTACATAATGTATAAAATACACAGATGCCCAACTCTGGGAAGGAACCTAAATGGCTATTAAAAAAAAATACAGTTGCAACATATCCCAGCAGTAGAATCTGTGATATTATAGCCAACATTAAAAGACTATTTGTTCTAGCTTTCCTGGGTACAAATGAATGACGCTTTTGTATGGAATAGGTGCAATTGTAGGAAACAAGAAGGAAACCTATGAGAGAAGGAACAGAAGACTACAGAATCTGCCCACATGAGCAAGTATTAACAACAAAACTTCTGGAACTTTTAGGGATGATTGTGTCCTACTGAATGTCAACATTTGCCCGTTAAATTTCTCTTAAAAGATGTACTTATTTACTGTCCATTTGATAAGATCTCTTACACAATCTTAATTCCTATACATCATAAAATGAAGTGATTCTTTTCTTGCTTTTAATTTTTTTTTAATTCTTTTGAACATATACTTCAATTTAAACAATAAAACACTATGAATTTATTTTGAATGCTAAACCTGTTTTAAGATACCAAGGGTAAGCCAATACTGTACTTAAGACTGTATTTAAATCAACAGTAAGAAGGAAGGGTTTAAAAGACCTGAGTTAAAGTAACAAATCCTCTCCGGACACACTTCTAAGGGAAAACTTGAAAGATACTGTTTCACAAGATCTCTCCTAAAAGGCCCTGAAGATATTTATTTAAAAATTTGCATCTTTTAAATTTTACACTATTTCCATATTTTACAATTAAATGAACCAGTGGCACACTAATACGATTTTTTGATCCATGTTCTGAGTGGAACCACCTAACACTATATTCTCCTAATTTGAAAAGCAGGGGGTTAAATTAGAGCTAGATTGTTAATCTGGTGTCCAAGGACTTCAAGCAGTATATTTGTGCATCTTTAAAGAGAAATTCCATGTATTCCATAAAGATAAGGAGTTCTGTTGTGAAGAGTATTCAGTAAGGCTCCAATCAATTCATCAAAATCGAGCATTAACATAGCCAATATTTTATCTGCTTTTAAGGGAGAAAAACAAACTGGTGTATATGAGAATCACTTTCAAAAAAAAGAAAGAAAAACACAAAAAAAACTTCATTAACTCTAGTAGTTGAACAAAATATTAAGAAACGCCTAAATTGACAAGACAAAAATACACTCAGAAGTAAACACCAACAAAAGATAAAAATCTACATTCTTCATATAGGAGTTTACAAGTAGCAAATTGAAAAAAAAACAATTAAAATATGAAACAAGCATATTTTACTGCAGTCAGATTTACTTGCAATATGATTCATCGCCTCTGTATCTTATCAAACATTTTTGTAGCCGTTGCCAAAGCATGTAATTAAACAGACTTAAGCAGTCTGAGTGCTTTCAAAGCTCTATTTCCCTTCTGTGAATCCTAGTGCCATCTGACAAATCCACGTCCAAGAGGTGAACCACAAGTACATAGTCAGCTAGTTTTAACAGCTCCCTAAACAAAACTAATGAATAGAAATAAAGGGAAAGCCCATTTAGTGTAGTTAAGTGAATTAGATTTGCCGAAAACACATCTCAAAGGAAAATGATGCCAGTTGTACAGATGCCAAACAAAAGCAAAATAAAATATCCTGTGAAATGTGAGGATCCTTTCAAATAAAATCAGAACAAACAGAATGCGGCACGATCATCAGGTCTCCGATCTCTGATGCTAACAGCACGCACAGGCATCCGAAGCCCTAACAAGAGTGAAGCCGGCCGGCCACGAGCTCACCGGCGGCCGCGGCGCTCGCACGGCTAATCGCCGGGAGGAGGAAGCTATCCGCCGGCTCGCTTTCCGGTCTCGGCGCACGGCGGCCCCGGACCGCGGGGACGCGGCCGAGTGGCCCGGCTCGGCGTCGCGGCTCCCGGACCTGCCTCCGGGGCGCGGGGAACTCACCGGCAGTCCTTGAGCCATATGGCGATCTTCTCGTTGGGCACGTTCCCTGCGGGGGACAGCGAGGGACAGCTCGTTACCGACCGCGGAGGGGCTCGGAACGCAGGGTCAGCCCGGACCACCCCGGGTGGGAAAGTCTGCCGGGCAAGACGCAGCCCGAGCAGCGAGTCTCGGCGTGCGTCCGGGGCGAGCCAGAGGGCGCCCAGGTGTCCGCGCGGACGCCGGAGACGCCTCCCGAGCGCGCGCGTTTAAAGGTCGGAAGTGTCCCCTCTCCCCCCGGCCTACCGAGACCCGAGGCGCCCTGCGAACGCTCAGCGGCGCCCGCGCGCGCGAGACTCCCGGCCCGCGGCCGCCGCGGGCGCACCGACCTCTCCCCGCGGCCGCCGGCAGCTTCGCGCCGGGGAGGTCCTCCTCGTCGTCCTCGTCCTCGTCCTGCGTCGTCGCTTCTGTGGACAGATCCTCCGTCTCCGACGCTTGCCAGGAGCTGCGGCACTTGGCCCAGGCCTTCCTCCTGCGACTCGCCACTTGCCACTCCAGTTCCTCCTCCGCCTCCGCCGACGGGGGCCGGTCCATGGCCGCGCCGGGGGCTCCGCGGCCGCAGCCGGAGCCTGCGCGAGACACGGCGGCGGCGGGGACCCCCGCCCCTGCTGTCAGCGCCCGGCCGGGCAGGGGGCCCCGGGGAGCTGAAACGGGCGCCGGAGGAGGAGAAGGAGGAGGAGGAGGAGGGGACAGGGAGGGAGGGAGGGAAGGAAGGGGAGGGAGGGGGCGGAGGGCCGGCGCTTCACATGAAGCCGGCCGGGCGCGGCGCGGGCCCGCCCCCTGCTGCTGCCCGCCGAGCCGGCGAGGTTTGGTGTTAGTTAATGGTCTTCCTCTCAGCTCCTCCCGCCTTCATCCAGAATTAGAATTAAAGTTGGGGCCTAGTCTCCCAGAACGCCCCCGCGGGAAAAGAAGCGTGTGATTGGGCTCCCCGAAACGTGCTCTCCGGAGAGTCGCCTCAGCGTAGATATTTAGTGTCCAAGGAATTTGGGGTAAGGATGACTGAGAGGCGCATGACTGCTGTTGACAGAATCTCGGAACTGGAAAAGACCAAGCTCGGTGGAGTGCTACTTTCAGACTTAAGAATGTTATTTATCGTGGTGGTGTTCTGTGTGAAAATGAATTGTGAAAGAATACTCTGGAAATTTCGCTTTGAAGGTGGACATAGATGTAGAAAAATGGAGCAAAGAATGATAGGGACAATGCAGAAATAATTGCTTGGATTTTGGTGAGACAAGATATTACAAGAAAGAAACGATGTCAGCGTTCAGAACTATTTTTAAAATGAGCTTCAGCATTCCCTTTTGTTATTTTTAAAATCTTATCACCAAGAAGACTCAAATTGTATCCCAAATCAGACCCAGTGTGACATCAGTCAACAAAGTTCCCCTAAATGTTGCATCTAAACTACCTACACATAAAAGGAAGGCTTCCAATATTTTACTGTACTTGGCTGTACTCTGAAGAACAAGTTAGAACACTTTTTGATCTTAACTTGATTGAAAAGAATATTTTTGCATGAACATAATATTTTAAGGAAGAAGTTATTTTATTTCATTTTAAATTAAAATCAAGAACATGGTAAAATTCCCAGGCTGGGCGCGGTGGCTCACGCCTGTAATCCTAGCACTCTGGGAGGCCGAGGCAGGCAGATTGCTCGAGGTCAGGAGTTCGAAACCAGCCTGAGCAAGAGCGAGACCCCATCTCTATTAAAATAAAATTAAAAAAAAAAAAGAACATGGTAAAATTCCTAAAGGAAACATTCAAGTTACAAAGTGACTAAGTGTATTGTCATTGATAGCTAAAGGAAACCATGATTTTTAGAGAATTTAGAATGTGGAATGCTCTGGGGATGAAATAGTGCCTAGTTTTTGTCCAGGCATTTACACATAAGTCATAGACTACTAAAATAGCACACTGATTTTCCTGCCTTCATTCTTTCCTATCTCCCTTCTAGCACTTTGCTTCCCGCTTACAATTCCCAGAATGCCCCTTTCTCTATTTCTTACTAAAATCAACAATTTCTGATGATTTTCTAACATCCCCAAGATGAAATCCAAAATCAAGACCAGCTTTTTAAAACCATTATAATATTCTTCAGTGCCTTATATAGTTACTAAGTAATGTAAGTGGAGCTAGAACAGTGATACTAATATCTCTATGGCTTGAAGTTTTACTATTAGAGAACTTTTCTTTGAACCTGTAAGACCCGCTCAGGCTTCAAGAGTCCTGTAGTAGGATACAGCTAACAGGTTAAAGGCCCTCCAAAATAGGTCAGAAGCTTGCTGCCTGTGCAGAACGTGAGATAGAGAGTAAAGTACCTACGGAAAAGGCATTGAAAGGGCTGGTCAAACGCCACAAAATATGCTGTCTTCACAGTTTCATCCAGGGCCTTTATGAATCCCATGCTGTGTTTCTGCTGCTCCACGTGCTGTGGCTGACTCTCTGTCCCTGCCTCTGAACTCATTCCTGTTGTTTCTGTCCAATACCTTGGTGACTTTCAAAATCCACCTGACCGGGAACTTTCTGACTCCTTCGTTCCACCACTCCTGATCATATCCCTCCCACAGTTCCCTGATATACAACAGAATGTCCATATCATTTATTTCAGGACTGAATTGTGCAGTAAATAATATGACTGTCCCCAGAGGGTATGTTTGGCTTACCAGCCAGACTGTAAACTGTGAGAGATCCAAGAACATTCCTCAGTATTCTTCCTGTACCCCTTACAGTTTTAAGTACAGTGCTGAACACAAAAGGAAAAATGAGTACACTTCATCTATTTTCTATTTTTTATGTTCTTCAGAATAAACACCTAAATTGATAAAGTATCTGCTTCATGTTATTTCTATAATGCTTATTTTTATATTTTATTTAGTTTTGCAGTTTTTAAAATAAACTTGTAGACAACAGCAACAAAGAACTCTTGAGAAAGCCAATAACGAACCATATTTTATATTTTAAAATCAAACTACCAGAGTGAAATAACAAAGAAAGGAAAAAAAAAATCCAGGTTACATTAGACTAGACTACAGCAATTATTGGATCTCCAGTAGCCCAAAAGTATGTTTTCTGCTTCATGGCAATTTTTAATGCAAAATGTTGAGGAAACAGAAATAATAGAGAAGGAAATTCTTGAAATAGCCTTGAAAAGTAAGGAATTTCATCATATTCTCAAACGTTGAGATTTTTTTAAAATGCCAAAGTATTTTATAATATTTATCCAATAATGAATGCTATACATGAAGAGTCTACACATTTTCTTCTTCAAGGATATTTTTCTTCCAAAAAAGTACTCTATTGGAGACCAACTGCAAATCTATATTGCAAAGCTCTACAATTGCGGTCCCCAAGCCCCTGCTACGGATAAGTGTCCATGGAACCTGGCCACACATCAGGAAGTGAGTGTCAAACAAGCCAGCGAAGCTGAAGCTTCAACTGTATTTACAGCTGCTCCCCATTGCTCGCATCACTGTCTGAGCTCTGCCTCCTGTTAGATCAGCAGCAGCATTAGTTGCAGGAAAACAAGCTCAGGGCTCCCACTGATTCTGCATTATGGTGAGTTGTATAATTATTTCATTATATATTACAATGTAATAATAATAATAAAGTGCACAGTAAGTATAATGTGCTTGAATCATCCTGAACCGCCACCCCCAGTCTGTGTAAAAATTGTCTTCCATGAAACCAGTCCCTGGTGCCCAAAAGGTTGGGGACTGCAGCTCTACAAAAAGAATATTGTCTGAGTCACTGATGCTTACAAGATGAAAGAAGAAACAAATTTATATTAAATCTGGGTAATTCCATCTGGCATGATGTAGTAGAAACAGTACAGTTTCTGGTGTTAGACTGAATCTTTTCCTAGTGGTATGGCCTAGGGTAAGATAGCTGGTATCTCTGGGCCACGACTTTTCTCATCTTTGAAATAGCAATTGTAATAACTACCTTCCTAAGTTAATGTGAGAATGACATGAAATAATGTAGGTGCTATGTATAGCTTATTAGAATTATATTGCAGAAGACAAAAATAAATCTATTTCATTGTGGGGGAATTATTCTAATACTAGTAAATGGCATCTATCATCATGGTTATGTAGCTGTATTTTAAAATTGGTTCTGGCTAGGATAAAAAATATACCTGGTTGAATCAGGTAGTTTGAAATGGAAAGGCTTAAATCATAAGTGAAACATTATTCTTGATTTAATTACTTAAGTTATTAAGACAAAAAGGAGCTGGGAGGATTAAGGTAAGTAAAATTTCAGGTTAAATAAACAGAGTAGCATTTTATATTTCAATAGAGTTGCCTGGAGAAAGGAATTCTATATGAAATATGTTTGGAAAGCACTGCCTATTGTATTCCCTTCTCTTTTTCCACTCCCAACCTAGTCACAATGAATGCTAAAAATTTGAGAGGTTCTCAAAATTTATTTTTAAAGATTAAAATTTTTTATCCAGTAGTTCTGAAATTGATTTCAACAGGAAATCTTTTGGGCTCCTCAATGTATCTATTAATATTTTCAAGGATACTAGTAGAATAATTTGCAATAGAAGAGAATGAAAATATTAATATATTAATACATGAGAGTAAACTCTTCAAAAAGTTGGCAGAGATTTATTTACAAATCACATCATTGAACTATAAAGACTTAGATTGGTTGTTTGATATATTCCTGTAAACAATTGTTAATTGTTAAAGTATTTCTGGTTTTAGTATTTCTGCTTATAGTATGTATAATATTTTTAAAGTGATAAAATTACGTTTCAGGTTTATAATTCCAACCTATTGCTGCTTCTTAGAGTTTTTCCACATTAGCAAAAATTCAAGGATTAGTTGCTTTTCCTCATAAGGAACCATTAGTATAGTATAACAATCTATTATTTTGATTTCTCTAATTTCCCCAAGTATACACCAGAAAAAGAAACAGGTAATACCTCTAGAACTTTGCCTTACAAGTTACTTATACAAACTAAGTTATCAGTTGACGTATTAATACTTTCTTACTTTGCACATTAAAGGCTTGTCAGTTTTATTCCTTATTCTCAGATCACAGTTTCTTCAGTTGCCACATAATGCTAAATGTACCCTCTCTGCAGTGAAACCTTGTGGCCAGTTTGTTTTCTTTTTAGTAGCTCAATTCTCTGGTGTTTCTGAGCAACAGGTAGGAATGGTTCATCTATTCTTCATCAACAATGGAATGGAGCAAGATTATGTAACAGAATAAACTTAATTTGGTCTGTTTGTGAATTTATGAAACAACTCAGAGGAGCTTTTGAAATACTTTTTACTGGACATAGTTACACATGAAATTACAAACATTTTGGCTTTCCATCTGTGAAGCCTTAATTCTCAAGTTTGGGTCAGTCCTTTTTCTTGTCAGTCCTGCCCTAAAATGTTGCTTTTAAAGATCTCTGATGTTCGAATCATAAAAGCTTTAAAGAGGTATATTTATCCATATCCAATGTTCAGTTTATACCTGTGCCAGATGATATTAAATAGTAAGGATTTTTCTGTAGTACACAACAAAACAGGAGTATGCCATTATTGAACTTCCAAGTGTTAACACTGTCCTATTATGTGATCAATTTATTGAGATACTTTTTCTTTCATGTTTAAGATTATCTTCTAGCTGTTTTATTATGTATATGATTTAGTTCACTATGCATATATTTGGAATTATTAATATATAATTGCATGTAAATCTCTTCTACATTTTATGAAGGTTCGGAAAAAGAAAGTTGGAACTAGATGAACTAGTTCCAACATGGTTCCTAC